CTTCATTGGATGCATCTACTAGTCCATCTTGACTCACGGAAAAGGTTGAAGCACTTGTGAAATGTAGCCGGTGGATGAAAAGTATTGCAGAAAGAGGGAAGGATCTAGTAACTCCAACACCGAAGTTGTTAACCATAGTCAGAACTTAAGTCATGAGTAGGGAACACAGCAGAGGAATTGATCAAGTTGGCTTTCACATGGTTCTCCTCAGTTCCTCTTCTACTGTGTTTACAAGATCACCCAGGCTAGACAAATCATTGCTTTTGCCTTCATTTCTGAATGCATATATGGATCAGGATTAGATTCTCCAGTCTGGTTCACAGCAGCACAAAGTGGCCTTAAAGCCACTTTGAGAAAGGGCCAATGGACAATTGTCCCTGCCCAAGGGAGCTCTGCCCACGGAAAGCTGTAGGACTGTCCCAGGTTCAAGGTGTGGGGCACAGAGAGCGTAGGGAGAAGGGCTCTTACACTGGGGCTGCGCAGCTGTGGATCAGGAAACAGCAGCCAGCCTTCTAGGTTCCCTTTCCACTGTGCTCAAGCAGAACTCAGGCAGGATGGAGAATCAACAAACTCAGTGTACAAAAACAGGGCCAAAGGTAACCCTGGTGCAAGCAAGTGGCACTCCCATTAACTTCTAAGGAGATTGCACCTGCTTATATAAGTTGAATTTATCCCCCTTTGTTAAGCATCCAAAAAGAATCTTAGGTCAACCAGTTACCATGGAATCATGTGATGCATCTTCCAAAATGAGGCCAAAAACAAATGGCCAGAAAGAGCCAAGTTTGTGTCCTGCAAAGTAACTGCGTAGGGCACCATATCAGTCCCTGCTTTGTGGGTCCACTCTATGGCCTCCCAAGTCAGAGCCAGCACACCAAAGGGCCACGAGTGAGCACATGCTCTTCAGCCATCTCTGTTCCTTTAAAGTACTATTAATCCTGCAGATTCCCTTATAGTGTGCTGCACTCCGTGGCATTCATCCCCATGGTCAGGCATAGGCCAGGTTAATAGTATCAGCTGTGTTTTCAGCATACTGCTGCAGAGAGGAGGACAAATGGACAGGTGCCAGTCCCCCATAAGATGCTGCTAAATGAAACTGAGGAGGGAAACTGAGTTCCCCAATGACCCCACAGTGTCTTGCTTTAGCTGTCAAAGCCCTCCTGATCCTCCTGATGACGAGTGCCTTCCTTGACCCCAGTATTCCATATTCCATTCTGACTAGATTGATGTATTTGTAAGATGGGCAGAGCCTCGGGCAGACGCCTCAGATCCATACAGCTGACTGCTCCCAAGGCCCAGAGATTGCCATTATCTGCATTGTCACACAGAAGTACACGCCCCTCATCCTACCCCCCAAACTGCCCACACAGTGGAGAGTCATGGCATAGATGTCACTGCTGTTAATAAAATCACTAGAAATGACATAGGTGGTGTCATGATGCTTACTTACTCCGTAATATAGTAACACCCTGTCAAATAGAAAGCTCTGATGACAGTATTTCTGTATAATGTCTCTGTAAACAAAAGCTAACTCTTGTACGGACTGTTTCAGTTCTGATGTTTGCATGGCAAGGATTTGTAAACTTGTTGAAGCCTCCAAAATAAATAAAGAGTTAAAAAAAAAAGAAAATGTCTTTGTTAGTTGGAGTGCTGGGTGGGCACCTTTCTTTCAGAGGTACATGAACTGGCTAGCACCAGTTCTCTGTATTACAGCATGTGATATCTTTAGTGTTACAGAATGAGGAATTCAGAGTAGCAGCCGTGTTAGTCTGTAGCCACAAAAAGAAAAGGAGGACTTGTGGCACCTTAGAGACTAACAAATTTATTTGAGCATAAGCTTTCATGAGCTACAGCTCACTTCATCGGAGCTGTAGCTCACGAAAGCTTATGCTCAAATAAATTTGTTAGTCTCTAAGGTGCCCCAAGTCCTCCTTTTCTTTTTGCAGAGTGAGGAAGTGGACTTTGGCTTCTGACTAAAAACCACCTATTGTCTTCACCCTGTGGATTTGAACCTACTCCAAGCTCTCCTCTCCACTGTGTGTCACGCACAGCTAGGCACTGTGATAATTAGAACGGCAGCTACATTCTCCTCAGAAACCCCATCCTGGCGAGTTCACATCGTGGCTGTAACATTTATCTCTGGAGCAAAAATTAGCAAAGACAGCCTAGTTGGGATGGTGTAGTGAGCTAAATGTCCAAGTTTGAAATTCTGAGAGTCCCCGGTTCACCTCTCAGCAGTGTTGTCTCAGCCCTTCATCTTTCCAGTGAAAATAAACTTGGATCTGTGCAGATTCCTATGTAAAAGCCTTTAACCTGCAACCTAACCACATGCCGGTCTATAAAGATCCATGGCATTCTTCGTAAGAAAAAGAGCTTGTCCGAGGACACTAAAACCACCTGTCTCTTCCCCTTACTGTTGTGTTGTGTGCTGATTAGTGGAGGATAGTTTGATCATAATTTGTGTGTTGCTGTGAATGTTCTTGGCACTCCCTGGCAACCTGTGTGAGCTGATCCCCTGTAGTGATTGATTTACTAGATGATACCTGCTTGCCAGCAGCTAATGGAGTTCCTCAAGAGCTAGAAGATGCTGAAGCTTTTGTTTTCAAATCTTGTTGATGACCTCTGCGGGGGGATCTTTACATTTTCCGCAAAATTCTCAGTGAAGTCAATGGACCTGATTCTGATCTCACAGTGCTTTTACACCCATATAACTTTGTTGACTTACATGGCATTACTCTGCATATACGCCAGTGTAAATGAGAGCTGAATCAGGGCCCAAGGGAATTTTGCTTGAGTAAGGAATGCTGAATAGGACACTACATATAAAATATAACCATGGACATTAAAAAAAATAATTAAAAAAAGCTATAGCTGATTCTAAGCCAAACAAGGGTGATAATATATATAGACATTTATGAGACTTAATCATGTTTTTATAATTCAAAAACTTCTCTGAAGTTTGGGTGGGTGGCCATTTTCCTACATTTAATTAATTTCTCACCAGCTTCGGCAGGGATTGCCCAAACTTTGCCCAGCTGAAGGCAGCACTGGCAACTTTACAAGACTCTAATGGTCAAACCAAATTTGCATAAAATGGAACAGAGCCTCCCTCATTAGTACTACAGAAAGGTGGTCTGCAGAGTGCAAGACCCAGCATACCATGCTTCATCTTGATCCTGAAGACCACCACTTAGCTTTGCCAGCTATCCCAAAAACTCCAGGTTCAGGTTGGTTGTTGTGATTGCACCTCTGACAGAATGCTGAAGCTGCATGCCAGAGTCTACCACTGACTCATTGTGTAACCTCAACTAAGGTACTATTTGGGGCTTAGTTCATCTATCCATAAAAATAACTCTGGTATAATATAATTTATTTCATAAGGGTGTTGTTAGGCTTACCTAACTCTTGTAAAGCACTCTTGAGATTCTCAAGTGAAAGATACTATGTAAGTGAAAAGTGCTACAATTGCTCAGAGGACAGCATCAAAACCCCAAAGATTACAGAGAATGTATCTGACCCTTCCAAACCTTCAAAGGATTGTCTTATAATTTGCCCATCATATTTTGGGGGAAAATGCTAACTTCTTTGGCCACACTAAAACCTTGACAATCACCCCAACCCCCTGCAATGTGTCATTTGTGCTCTTCAATAGAATCATACAGACACAATTATACGTACTGTACAATTTCCCCATCACGCTTTGTTGAGCATCACCAATATGCTTAGTGGTAGGAGCATAGATACTGTACTGCAAACACCAGCCATGCAGGCTCCAAGGATTTTTACAATCTAGTGGACAGTCCATATAGCATAGTCACAAACATTTATCAGATGACCAGGGACTTGATACTCCCCTCATCAAGTGTTGTTATAGGATTACTTTGGAAGATTATTGTATTGCATATTATCATATTGTACAAATTCTTCATGCCCTCTTCATATATCATCTGCACCAGTTCTCCCCCCACTCCCATGTCTGCACTAGTTCTGCAAAGCCCATTGTGTGCAATGGAGTATTGGTACAATGCATATAATGAGCTCGGGGGCGCAATGCAAATAATCTACACCGTATCTATTCTCCGTGCAGATTACTACGCATTGCACTTTAAAGAAGATTCCATACGATGTGCTCTGGGAAGGACTGGTACTGTGGAAATCGGATCCACTATCTTGCACTGTAAAAATCTCTCCCTTCCCCGCCTCCTCTCCAGAGGACAGGTGGCGGAGGCGATTGCACGTTACTTTTAATCATTAGCGCTCAACAGCCCCCAGGCACAGGCAGACACGCACTCTGCGCAGACGGGCAGAAGGCTACAGCCCGGCAATGGGATGTGCAGCTCAGGGCGAGCGCTTCGCCTTGCGACGCTGCAGCCAGCAGGGAAACTTGCACGCGCAGCGGCAGGAGTAGTGGCGCGCGGCGGGGCAGCCACAGCCAGCACCGCGCGCCACCAGGGTCTTGTCCTGCTGCTGCTTCTGCGCTTGCTACGTGCACATTGACACTGTCCTCATGGCAAAGCCCAAACGGACCGTACCACTGCGCATCCCCTCCGAAGGGGGGGGGTGTTGGGATGGGAGCAACCACCACATCAATGGATGCCGTCCTTCTCCCCCTACTGGGCGCTTTCCTGGTAGCCAGCCCCTGGCTGGGGACGTCTATTACGGGCAGCTCGGGGTCGGATGCGGGCGGGGACGTGAGAGACGGTTCCACAGGTACAAATGGTTCCGCCCTAAAATAAGGACGTGCAGAACCGAACGCGCCCGCACCCCGCGCTGTAACTGGCAGGGGAGGGGAAAAGAGCGCGGGCCGAGCCCGTTGTACAGCGGGGGCGCCCGCTGATTGGAGGGCGCGGCGGGGGGCGGGGCCCCCGGGCTTCCGGGCGCACTCCCCATTGGCCGGCGGGGGCAGCGCGTCACAATGGGTGATTTGCATGAAGCGGGTTGAGCGGGGGAAAGAGGGAGAAGGCGGGTTGCACGGCAGCGGCATGGGCAGGGCGAGGGAGAGAAGTTGCAGGCGGCTCCTGCCGGGGCTGGCTGGGCAGGACGCGGGGTGCCCGAGGCCAGGGGGCGCCTAGCGGGGCAGGGTCCCGGGGCAGCGCCGCGGACGGGACGAGCCCCGGGGGGAGGCAGAGACAGGAGTTGCCAGCGCCTCCGAAGTTGAGGTGAGCGAGGGGCTGGGAAATGGGGGTACGGCCAGGGCTGGGGTGCGCGGTTATTTGGGGGGTGCACCCAACCCCCTCCCCCAAGAGGGGTAACCAGAGGCGGTGACTCCTGGCTTCCCTCCCGCCGGGGAACGTGCGCTGCCGGAGAAGGGAGCAAAGAGCTAGAAATCCGGGCTTCCCTGGCAAACCCAGCCCCCGCCTCCTGCCCGGCTGTGCAGGACTCTTCCCCAGTGCCAGCTCTCCCGTTCCTCCACCCGGGCACCGGCCATGGGTCTCATCATGGCTTTGCAGTCCCCCGTCCCAAACCATGGACCGTGTGTGCAAAGTCGTCCGTCCCCCCCCCGGACTGTGTCTCTCTCCAAATTCCCCGGGCAGAGTCAGAGGCACTTTCAGTTTTGCAATGGGAATGTTAGGGGTGAGGCTCTTCGAAACCTAATGTCAAGCGTTGAAGCGCCATTGTCATTGCGGCTCAAATAAGCGGCACCTTGCACTCCCTTCTCCCCCCCCCCCCCCCCCCACCCCAAAAGAAAATCATCAATTTAAACAAAATGCCAAACTTGGCTTTCAAAAAGGAAAAAAGTTCATAATTTAGCAAGACCTGGCAAATAATCAGTAAAAGTATCTGAGCAGTTGGTGTTTTTAAAGGCATTTAAAAAAAATGCATAGGAAACCTTGGAGATTAAAGTGTTCAATTTAGACAAGGGGGTGCTTAAGGTGGATTTTGCTGTGATAACTGCTGACTGCATTGTGTCATCCTCTGAAGACTTGTGCTGTCCCCTGTTGACAACAGGATACTACTCTGGGTGGACCTGATGTAGTAGGGTATTTTACATCATTTAAATTTTTTTATTGGATTGTAAACTCTGGGGCAGGGACCACAGCTTGGTATGTGTCATACAGTGGGGGTCCTGATTAGCACTGGAGCTTCGAGCTGAAGTTACAAGATATGTGTTAAATAGCTAGAGAGAAAGGAACCAGTTCAGAGTTAACCTGACAGGGAACTGTGAGCTGTTACTGACACACTCAAAAGGAAATTAATCAAACCACCAGCCCTATTGCATGTTGTGACTGACTCAAGCACTGCATGAAAGCTTTCTAAGGACTGACTAGATTGCATGCCTTATGCCTAGGCTAGGGAAGGTCATAAATAAAGTACTCTCACGTCTCAATGCATAATGGTAGCTTGTCTCTTCCTGGCTGTTGATCTGATTTGTTTCTTCTGTGTTTCAGGTCAGTGTGCTGGGGTGGGAGGTTGTTGCTGGCTTCTTGGAAGCATGCATCCGTCTGCATTGGGTTAATCCTCCAGAAGCTGGTGAGCCACTGACTAACGCACATTGTGCTGTTAAAGACTCCACTGTGCGTGTGACAGCGGCTAACCTGCTTTTCGGACATCACTGTATACACGCCATCATCCTGCCCCATGAAGAGGCATTACTTGATCCTGGGGACTGCACCTAGCTTCCATCAACTTGGTAGGAGAGAGCTGTTCACATCCCGGCAGCAGCCCCTGACAAATTCACTGACCTGAACTATTGTGAAATCTTCAGAAAAGTTTGCTTGCAATTTGTTTCTTTCCTTTAAAACTCAAGCTGAGAGGGAGCACAGTACCTTTTCTTAAAATAAGTTCATTGATTGTACTATGTTTAATGAGTTCCCCTTGATACATGTGCCTTTCAGACACTGTGTGTTTTTGTTTTTTTTTTAAATTAGCAACCTCTCAGTGGCAGAGCATTGAAAGACTTAATGCTTCTGGGCCATTCTGCTACAAGGACCCAGTGAAGTGTATACATTATGACGTGAACTAGGACTTCTGTGACAGGAAACGGCTATAAAGTCTTCCTGGGAAGACCGCAAATGCGATAGCACATCTTCGAAAATGAGACCCTGCTTCCCTCCACCTCACCCATTCCTTCCAAAAAGCTAGTGACTTGGGGTTTTGTTTAAATCATGTTAGTTGGAGAAACTCTTCAGCCAGCCAGTGACATCTTGGTACCCAGTCAATGACTAATTGAACTCCTGCTGCCAAGGGTGTGTTAACAGAATAAACTATGCTTGGTATTGCCCTGGTGAGTCATTTTAAAGACTCTCTTAAATCTGTTTAGAAGTAAAGCATAAACCAGTTTCACCTTCCAGTTTTTCTTAGCACCTTTGCAGTTTCTTGTAGCTGGCTGTGTCTTAAATGAAGGCTCTGCTCCTTTCCAAGCCAGTTTTCTCTCCTGATTTGATCCTGCAGTGAAGTCTTACTGATAAAACTCAAGTGACTCCATTCATTTCTCTAGCAACAGAATGTGATGTCACAAATGCAGAATCAGCACTTCATTGCTTACGTCATGCGGAAAGCAAAGGCGATGAGAGGGAAGTTTCAGATATTTGTGGTTGCATTAAACAGCAACAGTAAAGAGGACAGAGGAAGTGACCAAGCAAATTGTGTTTGGTAAAGTTCTTTCAGTTTTGCTCCATTATGGAAACTCACTAGCTACAGAGTTTGCTCTTAGGGTGAGGTGTGGGGCTGTTTTACTTCTAGATGACTTCATGACTCCAAGCCAGGTTAGTAGCGACCAGATACTGCTTACTGATAGCTGTTTAGTGGCCTCTGTGAAATGATTTGGTGCTCTCCATTTCATTCCAGCCATCCCTTGGGGGAAACCTAGCATTTCATCCCATGGGGAAAAAAAAGAGAGGTTCTTTTAGTGGCCGAAAAGGCTCAGGTTTGTTTGTACGTAATTAGTAACACAAGAAAGTTTGAAGTCAGGTCTTTCTCATACAGCTACAAATCCGATAAAGCAAGAAACTGCTTTAAAAGAGAAAGTGTAAGTCTGTACCTTCCTGAGCAGCATATTCTTGCTAAGCATTTTTTCCCTCACCTCCTGAAGTGGGCATGTTTGCTCTCCTGAGAGGAAGTCAACTCTTCTGTCCTCTGATCACGGTAACTAAGTCCAGCTGGCTGGGTCAGAAACACAGCTGTGTCCTCTTAGCCCAAATAACCTGGAAGGGAGGAGAGCAGCTTTGGCAGCTGCTGGTGGCTGCATCTACACAATAGCTGCCTGGCTCTCTTGTGATGTTAAAAATAGGATCAGGGTGTTTGTGGTTCCCCTACCCCCAAATACCCTGTCAAGAATCTGCAAATGCTCATAACCTCCCTCCCAAAGTTGGCTTGCTCAGTAGAGAGGCTGAGAACTGACTGGGTCGCAGAGAATTAACAACCTTCTCCTAGGGCAGTTAAGAGGCTGGTCAGTGGAAGGGTAGAGCAGGGGACTCTTGTATTGTAGATATCTGTGATGCAACAAGTCTGCAGACAAACAGAGGATGTGAGTTTCTGAGGCCTTCTACTCTGATTGCTATTTATATTACCACCAGTCAGTGGCTTAGCTACACAAGTGATTCTACTCACAGAGCTGCACTGGTGGGACACAGCAGTAGGGAAACTTGAAAACCACTAGTGTAGACCAGGCCTGGTGCTTTTGCACCTTTCTCAGTTCAAACTAGGACAAAACTTGGCTATGGTATGGAAGCCTCCAGGGCTGGCTGCAGGCACCAGGTGCTTGGGGAGGCAATCTGCGGCCGTCCATGTGCCATTAGAGCATTTCCACGGCAGTGGCAGGAATTCGGCACGCTGCTCAGGAGAGCAAAAAACAGTAGAGCCAGCCCTGGAAGCCTCCACTTAATAAGTCTGCACTGAAACTTACAGCTATACAATGGGACAGTTCCTTATTTCATGTGTGTACATAGTCTATAACATGCATTGTGCTGAAAAGGAGTCCCTTGGACTGGCCATGGGGAGGCTTTATAATGTCAAAATGTGGACTCCCTAGGCTGATACTTGCTGGGTGTGAGATCATCTTTGCAGACATGTTGATTTCAAATTCCTCTTAGGTGGTAGTTGCATTTCTACCTATGATATCGAAGTGTGACAATACCATACCTGAGAACCATATTTCCCCCCAAATTTACAATATTCTTGTACTGGTATCACATCCTGTGCAGCTCCAATAAGATAAGTGGGGAGTGTGAAGCAATAAACTCCCCTGCCCCCCCCCCCTGTCTATTCCCCATGGAGAATGGCGTGTTGCTGTTTTTTTTTTTTTTTTTTTAAAATGCTTCTATGGTAAGAGTCTAGTGCTGTGATCAGACTAACCTGTTGTCACCTACAGTTCTCAATAAATACTACAATATCACTGTGTATACATTCATTATTACATTCATGACCCTGGGATGATGAAAGCTTAAGCAGATCCAGCTGTGAGGCATGATAGGCTGGCCCAAACAACTGAAAATGAAAATCCCTTCCTTTCAGTATCTCTGCTACATAATATTAAAGCCTCTGGGTTTTTTGCCTCTGCTTTCACTGCCTTGGCAATAGTGGACTGTCCATTGGCTTGAGTAGGAAAGTGGAGTGGACTAGCTGTGCTGAAGAAGTGTGGTGTTTGGAGGTGTCTGTCTGTACTAGAACAAGCTGAAATGTTCACCTTACTTTCCTCTTCCAATAGCTCTGAGAAGAACCTCTCAGCTTTGAAGCATAAAAACCTTTGATGTAGGTGGGTTATAGTCACTCTGAAAGACAATTCTGCCCCCAGTTAAATGGTGTGTGCTTGTGTGTCATTTGCCTGGGGGGGCAGGGGTTTGTAGAATATAAAAACTTAGCAATTGTTAAGAAACAGATACTATAACCTGGAATTCACATTTACAACAGGAACGTTCAGGGCTAAATTAAAGCAAGGGCTTAAAAGCCGTTGGTGTACAGTCGGAGAAGTGAGTGTCTTGTAGTAGTGGAGGGTGCTGAAATGAAGCCTGTTTAGCAGAAAGATCCTTCAGATATTTTATATTTATTCTGCTTTGATTTCAAAGCCTTGCAAAGGAGGCTGGTAGACCAATAGAGTTCACCATTAGTGCTAGGAAATGCAAGCATCCTTGTGTGTTTGTAATGCACACGCCACTTGCAAATCACATGGTGTGTATTAGGTGCGTTTAGATCTGAATATCAATGAAGAGAAGCTAGTGTGTTAGGAATAAAAGAATAACAAAAAGTTAAAAGAGGGTCTGTGTTACTTTTACATAAGTGCAAGTAGGAGCTTATATAATACTTTTTAAAAAACGCTGCTGTAAGGAGATTCCATTGGGAGAGAAACTTGCTCATCCATAAACCACTAAGAGAATCTCCCAGAGCCCTCCAGGACAGAGCAAGAACCAGTGGGGAAAAAAATCATAAAGCAAGGTAGAATCTATTTTGTCTCTGTTTACCATGGTAGGCAATTATCTACTTTCATCATAAGGAGGAAAATTATGACTGTGCTTCATTAATCAAGTGATCTTCACTCCATGGCTTAAACAAATCACCCCTTCTGTGGTTTGTACACCCAGGAGCAATAAATAGAGCATTTGTAACTCACCTGGAGAGGCCGTGGGGCCAGCAGGTGCATTTTCCGCTAGTCCCCTCCACCTTGCATTATATAACATGCTGAATCCTGAAGAAATGCACTCTGTAGAAGCTACTTGCAAGAATTAAGAACCTAAGAATGGCCATAGTGGGTCAGACCAGGGGCTGGGAAGCTAAACTGCAACTTCATAACTGCAGTTTGCATGAAATAAACAGTCATAGAAAATGTGTGTGTTTTGTTGCTGTTTGTTTCACCTAATAGAAACCAGAAAGCTAGAGTAAATTGCTTGTAAGAGCTCATTAACAATCTCAGTGAAGTGTTTTAGGGTAACAAGCAGAATGCTTGCCATAAGAACTGGGAATAAGATAGGCGGATGACTTTAGAAGTGTTTGATGCATGTATTTTTGGTAACTTGTGCTATGTTGAATGTTGGGTGGGCATGTAAGACGATACTACAAATTTCTGATCTTTAATTTCATTGTGGGAAGAGTGGACAGATGCCCAAATATGGCTGGCTATTACAGTAAAAAGACAGAACTTACTGTACGCTAGTGTTGTTTAGGGTGGGATGAGGAGTAAAGGGGTGTAACTACTACTCCCTGTAGCCTGTTTCTATGTTTTTGCATCCTGTCCCTTACATCCATGTTCTCTCTTCCCAGTCACCTCTCTTCCTCCTTTATGATCTACAATTTTAAACCTGTTTTTCCCCCTTTCTGGCTGCCACTAGTGCATGGAGAGTTGCCAAGTACAACTGTCTGCATCTAGTAAGGGTGGCACTTATTCCAGCATAGTGCATGGCATGCAGGCTCACTGACCTTTGAAGAAAAATCATGTACTTGACACAAGATGACTAAAATTCTGCTCGTGGTTGTGATCATTTCCACCCAGGAGCTTTCCAGATGGATGTAGTCCATAGGTACATTAGGGGGATCTTACTCATCCACTTCAGAGAGGAGAGGCTGGATTAGGTGGACCATTGGCCAGTTAAAACATTACATTATATAATATAATATAAAATAAGACATATAAATCGGTATATCCTAGCTGGTTAAAAATCAAATGCCTCCACTGTGGTAAGCAGAGTAAATCCAATACAGCACATTGCTCGTGGCCAGCTGGGCTTGGGGGAAAATCAGTGTAGTCCTGGACTAAAGGGCAGGGCAAGGCCCTTTCTGACAGTCTGCTTGTCTGAATATGGTACTTGCTCTCTAAGGCTGTCCCTGGAAGTCTATGAATTTAGTTCTTTTGCAGTGGGAGCTGAAAGCATTTGTAATAGACTTTTTAGTATAGCTAGGAGTCAAAGTCAACAGACTGAAACCATCCATTGGCATAATGGCTGCTACTGGTACTATCTACATCAGCTGATGGGGGCATTTTGGCTTTTAGCGAATGTGACTGCTCTGCCTGTATAGTATCTGCGTTTCAAATATAAATGTGTAGCTGTTAAGTTGTTTTTAAATACAAAGGCTGGGGGTGCATGGCAATGCCACAGGGAAGACCACACAGACTCTTGGAGCCCCAGGCCAGCAGCCCGCTCCATCCCTAGCTGGGGAAGGGAAGGACTCAGCCAGAGGGCGGCACCGTTGAGTGATCAAGCAGCAGCTATGCCAGGAATTCCCATCCATTTCTCTTTGGCCGGGAAGATTAGTGGATACAACATGAGGTCTTGGGGCAGTGGTTAAATGGGCAGATGAGGAGGGGGGCCTTGGGGTTCTGTTGGGGATGCAGAGTTCTTCCTTCCACGCCAGCAATGGAAATGGCAAAGCCCTGAGTTGCACAACAGGAAGAAGCAGCTGAGGGATCTGACTTTTAAGTGCAGATAGGAGTATGCAGTTGCGGGCTCCAGGGAGTTACCTCTGTTAATGACATGGGAGGAAGTTGCAAAAGCAACCTAGATTATAAAATAACTAAAGCAAACAGGAGTCCTTGCTAGACTCATCATCGTTTTCTGCCCCCTCATAATGCAGCAAAAGATGCCTGTTGCCTGTGTTTGTGGCCAGGGGCTAGGCCTCTTTAGTCAAACTGGCTCTGTAGGATGTATCAGACAGCAGTTTTATATTCTGTGGGAGCTGGTGCAGGAGCGATCTTGGGGCTGTAGCTTGCTGACTGTCTAGAGTAAGCATGGGGATGCAGTGTACACCAGGTTCAGGCGTGGGCAAAAGTTGCTTGCTATTCAAATGCATCCAGCCAACCAGTTCCAAATCACTCTGGTATCCCCCATAAGGCCCCCGTGTTGTCCAGAGGAAACGCATGGTGAATGTTCCAGATTAACTGGCTTTGCGGGGAGGCGGGGGACAGCTGTTGAGGGAGACTTTACAGGGTGAAGGGGACAAGAGGAAAACAGTTGACATGCAGTGTAGTTCCCCCTTTTTGGGATAATCCTCAGAACAAATCAGAGATTGGTCCACGTTTATTACAGGCCATTATTTTTTTGGCTTCCTGGAATAGCTTGATACCAGGGCTATACTATTTTTATAACTGGCATAGCCTGACTCCTGGGGCAGAGGGGAGAAAGAGCTGCTTTCAGTATGAGGACATAGAGAGCCTACATCAATGGCAAGCTCACCTTGGATGAGGGCATCAAAGGTTGCAGGAGTTGTTACCTTTCCTTCCACTTGTGAGACAAGGAAACGGCTGGTGTTGTATTTGGGTGTCCATTTCTTCTTGTTTAATCCCCTTTTTCTCTTTTATGCAGCCCAGGGAACATCAGACTAATTTCAGTATTGTTGCCACTTCTAATTTAGCAGAGCGTGTTCACAGCCATTCTGAGGCCATCGGTGACGAGGCTTATGGCTGAGAATTGCATATGCCACGCTCATATATCCTGCACTACACCACGGGAAAGCATGAGCATTACCCCTTAGCACACAGCATTGAGAGACCTTGGGCCTCTGGCCTTCTTTGGACAGTTAAGATGTAACTGACACTATTGTTGGTAAACAACCTAGGGGGATCAACACTTCTATCCTCACAAACAGGATTCAGGACAGGGTTGGGCCTGCACAATAGTACAGTACACCATCACATGAGACAGGCTTTTATCTGCATTTTAAATACAAGGGATTTCTCTCTCTTCCTTCGCTCCTTGCTACCTTTTAGACTCCCAGTTTCTAGTAAAATCACCCACCAGCCACCTGGAAATAATTACTATGACACCTAATCACTCTTTTTCCTTGCAGACATCTTGTTTTTATTTGTCCATGTCAAGAGGGAATTTTTGTCTTTTAGCTGACATTTGTTCGTTCTTTTCCTGTTAAGTTTGAAGGAGAATTCAAGCCCTTCCTCATCTTGGGAAGAAGAGGGACTGCAGCTGCACATAGGGTTACATTCAAGTGCTGCTCTGGGCCACCTGCCAACACAGCCCAGCTGTTCTAGAAGCCATACCCAGAGAGCTGTGCTCTTCCTTACTGTGCCAACCAGCTGCAGTAGCCCTGTAGCTGTCAGGAACTGGTGGGAAAACGGCCACACTGCCATCAGCTTTCTAGAATTAATGAGGGAGGAGAGGGGTTGGATTTTGTCTAACCAAAGGACCAATAGCACTGACTTTACCTTGGCATACAAGGGGCAGGTATGTGGCAAGATTTACTCCTTCCACCCCACCCTGAAACAGCACTGGGCAGCTCCTGCTTGTCTTACCAATAACTAGCAAGAGCCTTCACATGCAGAGACTGGCAAACTCGCTTCACTTGTAACTGGCAGACTTGATCATATGCAAGCAGCAATGACACGCTAGTGTCCTAACCCATGGGTGTCTGGCTCTTGAGGTTTTTTTAAAATCCTCTCTCCCACTGCTTTACAAA